CTGCTTTGGGTAATACCTACAATGCTGTTACAGGAAGTTCAAGTGGAATACAGGGGAAGAAATTAGCTGTTGGTGTTACATACTTGGGTTTATCGTTTAAACCCCATGCATATAATAATCATTACACAAATGGAGAACTGGCTGTATCTGCGGCTGCCAGTTTGGCCGTCCTATCATCAGAGGAAACCCATGAACCTGACCTTCGCAAGTACAGTAGTGCCAGGAAAGCTGCATCAAATAACATCTTAGTGCAGATGAAAGCATTTTCATTAATAGCCCCACGTTTCTTTTGGCCAAGTCCTGATAAGAAGGAGATTACGAGGGAAAGATGTGGTTGGTGTCATTCTTGCAAACTCACATCTGCAAGCAAGAGAGGATGCATGTTAAATGCTGCTGTATCGGGTGCCACTAAGGGTGCGACAAAGATCTTCAGTGGTCTATTTCCTCTAAAGAATGGGGAGGGAGTTCTTTCAAGTATTGCAGCATATATTCTATATCTAGAGGAAAGCCTGCGTGGCCTGATTGCTGGCCCTTTTCTCAGTGAAAGTCCCAGAAAACAGTGGCGTAAGCAGGTAGAGGAAGCCACCACATGCAAAGCCTTAAAAGGACTCTTACTTGAAGTGAGTAGTTCTTTATAATAAGTTTCTTGGTAAACGTCGGAACAGTCATAGATTTTATCTCTCTGGATTAAAAACTTGTTTGTCTACACTAATGTGTGATATACCAAGCATTTGTTTTCTTGTTACATTTGGTCTATCTTGGTCTCATCTCCACAATTTGGTTTGTCTATCTTGGTTGCAGCTTGAGGAAAATATCTGTGGTATTGCTCTGTCAGGCGATTGGTTTAAACTGATGGATGACTGGTGGATAGAACATTCTATTTTCCAAAGTGCTCCAGTTACTGTTGGCGTTACACAGAAACGTGGACCTGGTAGGAAAAGGCAAAAGAACCAGGCTGAAGTTACAGCTGAAGGTTACGATGATGATAGCTTTACATGGTGGCGAGGAGGGAAGTTATCAAAAGTTATTTTATTGAAAGCAGTTTTGTCACAGCTGGCAACAAGGAAAGCAGCCTGGCAAGGTATACTTTTTACTTGTTTGTTTACGTTTATGTGCAACTAATTTTACCTATTCATTAAGCATGTGGAAAGTTTATTTGGTTTTTAAATCGCTTCTGATGCTACCAGTGTAGAAATCTTATTCCACGCCACTAAAATGGTTTTCAGGTACACTAATTTTTTTTTTTTTTTTTTTGTTGCTTGTTAGGGGGTTCGAAAAAGATTCCTGGATTTAGTTATGGTGATGCTTCTTACATCCCAAGAAGAAGCAGACGGTCTAATTGGAAAGCTGCTGTTGAAAGTAGCAAGAACATATCTCAGCTCGCTCTTCAGGTTTGTGTCTATGTTCTGTGATTATAGTTGCTATTTTTTATAGGTATATTTGATATATTTCTGAGACCCAGTCAAACGTTTGGGTCAGGTAAGATATCTGGATATGAATTTGAGGTGGAGTGAACTTGTACGGCCAGAGCAAAATCTCCAGGATGTCAAAGGTCCAGAGACAGATGTTGCCATATTTAGAAATGCTCGTATATGTGACAAAAGGCTTAGTGATAACAAGGTTAGTTACGGAGTTTTCTTTGGAAATCAAAAGCATCTGCCATCACGCGTCATGAAGAATGTAATTGAGGTCGAGAAAACCCAAGATGGAAATGAAAAGTATTGGTTCCAAGAAACCCGTGTTCCCCTATATTTGATCAAAGATTTTGAAGAGAGTTTGCATAGAGTACAAATGCCTTCTTTAACCAAGAAACCATCCAATAAATTATCAAAGCTACAAAGAAAGCAGCTGAAAGCTTCCCGCATGGATATATTTTCATATATAGCCTCAAGGAGGGACAAGATGGAGAAATGTTCTTGTGCATCATGTGATCATGATGTTCTGTTGCGGTAATTATTGGTTTATTTACCTTTGAGTTGCCTGTTTTACTTTACTGTGTTATTAACTTTCTCTTCCAACTCTGTACATGTAAGCAGGGATACAACAACATGTAATGCTTGCCAAGGTACAATACTATCCTCTTACTGTTTCAATTTTTTGCATTTTCTCGTAACTAGAAAGTATAATATTTTTTCTAAGCTCTTCTTGGTCAAACGATGCAAATTACTGGTAATTGAATCACCAAACAGATTGGAATGCAGCCCTATGTTATCTTTTTCTATTGTACCATCTCATACCTGACAAAGAAGGATTAGTTTCACTGCTCCTCTGATAGAGTTTAGAGAAGAAAAAAAGGATTAATCACATGTTTGACAAGCGTGGGACTGTAAATTTCTGTTGTAGTATATCAGTATGTTTGTGCTTCAGCGTTGGATTGTCATATTTTGTTTCTTTTTAGGATTTTGTCACAAGGAGTGCACTTGGATGTCACAACACACAAATGGAAAAGTTGAAGTTCTGGTCACCTGCAAAAAGTGTTACTTTGCAAAAACTCGTTTTCAAACAAATATCAGTCACATACAATCGACAATACCCCAGCTCACGATCAACAGCAGACATCAAAACGCAATCACTCCAGTCATCAAAATTAAGCCTCCTAGTCAACAGATCAACGGACGACCTCAAAATTCAGTCACTCCAGTCATCAAGATTAAGCCTCCTAGTCAACAATTGCTATCCCAAAAACCACTTGAGAACACTTCAGGAGTCAAACAATTCACTCCTGATTCTTCTGTGACATCCAAGAGTAAACAGAAGACACTGTCCTGTGGAGTCATATGGAGGAAAAAGAACTTGGAGGACACAGGTGTTGATTTCAGGAACCAAAACATTCTCTTGGCTGGAAGTTCAGATAAACCCAGTCTGGAACCGGTTTGTGGGATCTGCCAACAGGCGTACAATCCTGGTTTAACATATATTCACTGCACAAAATGTGAAAGTAAGGAGATCATTTACTCAACGACAATTGTTTTCGAAGTGTAATTTCTTGAATGCCTCCAATGTTATCTTACTTAATATTTGAATCGTAAATGCAGAGTGGTTCCACACTGAAGCTGTTAAGCTCGAGGACTCACAAATTCCTGAAGTTGTTGGGTTCAAATGTTGCAAATGCCGTCGTATACGAACCCCTGATTGCCCTTACATGGATCCCAAACTCAAAGAACAGAAGCAGATCAAAAGATTAGTCTTTAAGAACCAGAAACAGAGGCAAGGAAATTCCGGGCTGGATTCTGATTCTGAAAGAATGTCTGATCAAAAAGACTCAAAACCTTCTACTCCGTTACCTGCTACACCTTTATACCCCCCTGATGACGTATTTATTCCAGAGGATGATCCTCTCCTGGTTTCAGTTTCCAAAGTCGAGCAAATTACACCCAGTAATTTCGATCTTGAATGGAGCACCACTTCTTTTGCGCCTGGACCCCAGAAGCTACAGGTTAGAAGGCAAGTGAAACGAGATGATTCTAATGTGGACTATCCCGAACCAAAGCCTATTGTGAAACCTGAAACAGAGGAGCAAGCTTTGCCTGTTCTCACAGAATGGGATTCGTCTGGTGAGCTACTCTTCGACTACGATGACATGGAATTTGAACCCCAAACCTATTTCTCGTTGACCGAGCTACTGACTGCCGATGACAGTGGTGGTGGTCAGTACGAGCAAAATGGCGATAAGGTTGTTTCAGGAAACCCTAAGGTCGAACCAACAGAAGAAGAAGACTGTGAAGATATGGGTCCATGCCAAAGATGTTCGCGAATGGATCCAACGCCTGATCTTTTGTGCACGGTTTGTGGATTACTAATACATTCTCACTGTTCTCCATGGGAAGAAGACCCATCATCCTTACCCGGAAGTAGTTGGAGCTGTGGTCAGTGCCGCGAGTGGCAGTAGCCGAAACGAAGATTGCGAGTCCCTCCCCAATTTTAACTTCCACATTCTTTTGTTACCCTTTGACACATATCTGAGGGGAAGATTGTATCCTCCTCGCTTGGCTTATTATGGCAGATGAGCTTGTAATTTTTTTTTTTTATCTTTCTTGGGTTAATGCTCGTCTACTTTATTTGTCTTCGTATATAGTGAGTGGATACATGTTTTCTTAATGTTATTGAGTTTGGTTCTGTGGCTTCGATATGCCTTCAATATTTATGACTTTCTTTCTCCATCTTCAATATGCTTCAATGTTAAGATATTGAAGACTATATCTCTTCGTATATAGCATTCTTATTGAGATTAGAACTCATAGGGAAGAGGAAAACTTCAGTATCTTAGCGCGGGAAGTTTATAATTTTGTTTTGTTAATTTTTTATTCATATTGTGATATTTTATTATCTTTTTAATTATTATCTTTCATACTCAAATTTGGATTAAAAACATTTGATTCAATTTATGAAATATCATTTTTGTTTCTTTCTATTATGTTATAAACTAATATTTCACTTTCAATTTTCCCTCTTTATAATTTCATATATACAATTACATCAATATTGTTTTATTCTACCATAAATTTAAAATTTACTTCCATTCTAAAACCCAGTAACATATTTAAAATTTTAAACTATGATACATTTAAAATGAAAGTTGAATTATATTATTACCACTAATAAAAAACAATTAAATTATTGTTTTTATTTTATTTTAAAATTTCATTTATTTTACATAATTTATTTTTATTTATATAAACTTTGTATTAATTAAATAAGTAACATAAATATGCACTAAATGAATGTTTTAAATTTATTTTAATGTCAAGACTTGGTTGTGCACAACATTATTTCTTTGTATAGATGCAACAAAAAAACCCCAAAATAATTAGGTATTTTCTTCCGGTGGATGAGGAAAAAAATTGGTTATATATAATATCCAAGAAAAGAAATAAACAACGAACCCGAAATCAACATCATAAATCCAAAACACCAAATCAAATATGGAGAAAAAAAGAAACCCTAAAAACCGACAATTAGAAACGAAAGTTAGGGTTTTGGATCATCCTCAAAAGTTAGGGTTAGGGTTGTGCAACATCCTCAAAAGCCCATGCGTTCTCCGCTCGAATCGTTTTCTCTTCTTCCTCAGTGAAATCGTTCTGGATGCCAAAGATTTCTCTAACTTGCTCTACAGACATGTCTTTGATGTGATCAGCAACGTTCTGACAAGTGAGATCAAGAAGTCCTTTCACGTTGAGATAGTTAGCAGCGAGAATGACTTGGAAGACGGTTTCCAAATCTAAATCCTGCAAGAAGCCTTTGTCAAAAGCCTCGACCTCCTCGAGCTTCTTGTCGGTATGAATATGATCATCTCCAGAGGCTGAAGCAGCATCAGCTTTCTTCTTCTTCTTCTTGTCTTCCTCGCTGTCTTCTTTATCATCAGCAGCATCATCTACATCGTTGACGTGTGTTTTGCAATACTCGACAACCATGGGGAGGATCTTTCCAGTAACGTTTTGAAGCGGGATTGGTTTATGGGCACAGTCGTCGTCGATCATGTGTCCTACGATCTGAAGTTTTCTCGCCACCGCTTCCTCAACTTCGAAAGTCTCGCCATCAGAACTCACCAACACAATCTTTTGGGAAGACATATTGTTTGAGAGAGAGAGAGAGAGAGAGAGAGAGAGAGAGAGAGAGTTGGTTTCTTATGAGAATATATGAATGAGAGACGA